ACAATTGAGAGATGAGGCCTTTATTGGAGAAACTTGCTATATTTTTTTTCACAGTGCTGGGGAAGATTAATGAAGTTTCATACTTGAAGCAGTTCTCCCAAATGCTGAAGTCTCTACCCCAGTAAGCAGGATTAACTCCTACTTCAGACTTTCAGTGAGCGATTAGGTTAAAAATAAAGGGAAAAAAAACCTGCAAGATACTTTTTCTCTGTCATTTTAGCTGAGGCCACGTTGGGATTTCAGAGATAAAGTCAGAAAACCAAAGAAAGGAAAACTTTTTCCTAGCTTGCAGAACTGCTAAAAACATCTTAGTAGATTTTGAAGCTTGGAGATTAAGGAATTTGACGATTGATTATTTTAAGATTACAGGAGAGAACTCTTAGGACTTCAGTTAATTCCAGGAACTCACTCCCTTCTCTTTGTCCTATCTGAGAAGACACTTAGCAGAAGCTTAACATATGCTACAATACCTTAGTGAGTTTTGGGGTGCCACTCTGAAGAATTTGTTTTAAGGAAAAATAAGAATTAAACTTTGTAAAAGTTTTGGATGTAAATAACACTTAAATAATTTCTCCCCCTAAAGATTGCTAGACCTTGTTTTAGTGTGATGAAGGAAGGCAGCTAGTTTGAAATTAATCTCAGAGTGAAGGAAAAAAAAGAGTGTGTACTTTGCAGTTTAAATTTACCTGGTACTTAAACCTTTCCTGACTATGAAAAGAAAAGAGCTTGTCTAAATCAGGGAGCAACTTTAAAAATGGGTAAAATTTAATTAAGGAATAGGAAGAGTAATTCAAACCAAAGAGGGATCTGTGAGGAGGGACCACTAGCCCACCTCCACCATCACCTGGACCCAGACCCTCTTATAGATAATAGGTATAGATATTCACAATGATGGGAGGGGGAGGTGACTAGAAATGTCTTTTGAGAAGGCTCAAGATTTATATAACAGAATTAATTGTTTAAGTAAGTTAGAAGCAAGATCACCAAAGAAAATTAGAAAGAAACCATGAATTTGTAAGCTCTTCCCTGGGTTCTGTGGTGGGTGAAAGATGAAATGGTGGAGGAAACAGGTTTGAGATTCCAAGCATATTGATTTGTTGAGCAATGCATGCCAACTGCATAACAAATTGGGACCAGATCTCCCCAGCTTTGGCACTGGACCCTCGAATACAGGGGGAGGCAGTTTTTTATATGCATTAAAAATGATTTTTTTAAAAAAGACCTGTTAGCTAAAAGAAAACAATTTACAGAAGAGAAAATTGGGTAATCTGATTTCTAACTAAAAGAAAGATCAGGGATTTTCCAAATTGGGAGGGGAAAGGGAACAGATGCAATTCCCTGAAATCAGAAAAAGAGATATCCCACTCTCAAGTGTCTGTAAACAATCAAAGGAACATGGAAACGTTAACTAATTGACCAGTAGGGGGCTGGTTTTCAGACAAGTCATGTGTGCCTGAGATATATAGTTGTGAGAAAACTTGCATCAATCTTTGTATCCTTCTAGGTCTCTAGTCAGCATAACCCAGGTCCTTGGTTAGGGCTCTCTAGGCAGCAGATAGGTGGCCAGGATAAGTTCAAACAATACAATAAAGTTTTCTCACAAGATGGAAATTGGACTAGATCCGTAATTGAATAGAAAGGGAACTGAGCTAGCTCCAGAATTGAGTCACAAGATGGAGGCAGTGTGGTTCACTATGTTCCCACAGTAGTAAGTTAGTGGCAGAGCTGATACTCAGGTAGAGAGCTTTTGACTCCCAGTTCAATCCATGCTTTTTGCCCCATGCCAGGGGCATAAAGAGGGTCTCATTTCCTGTACTTGAGAATAAACTGGATTCCCATCCAGCTTAACCTGAGGCACATAGTAGGTGCTTAATAAATGCTTGTTGGTGATGGTGATGATAACCCCATTTTCTACCATACTGGTGTCCAATTTCTCAACCTTTTTTAAAAAAATTGAATCATAAGTTTCTTCCCCAGTATTTTATGATCTTGGATTTACCAAACAGTAGTCTATTGTGACGCATTTAGTTCCTGTACTAGGTTATCTAACTTACTTCATTGATCTATTTTTCTTTTTTTTTAATTCAGTACAAGATAGTTTGATAATTATTGCTTTATAATAAAATTTGAAATCTGACAGTGAGTCCCCTTTCTTCCTTTAAAAAAATTTTCCCCTTAATGTTCTTGCCCACTTTTATAAAAATTAATATAAATTTTATCATTATATTCCATTCGGAGACATCTCATTGTTTTTAAAGCTTTATTATTAAATTTATAAAAATAATTTGGGTGGCATTACCAAGGCAAGGCAAGGAAACAAGCATTTATATACTCATATTTATACACTTACAATGTGCCAGGCTCTCTGCTAAGAGCTGGATATGTAAATAAAGCAAAAAGTAAGACAATCTCTGCTCTCAAGAAGCTTACATTCCAATGGAGGAAGACGACATATAAAAGGATTCTGAGAAGGTTGGGGTAGTAAAAATATTCATGCTGGAAAATGGTGAAAAAAGAAGTCTAAGGTCACCTACACACCACAGTGAGGAAATGTGGACTTGAGTGGAGTGTATGGTTAGAACTATCACATTAAGGGAGGGAAATTTTCCATGCTTATATTTTTGTTAATGCCCTCCCTAAAGGGGTTAAGTCTACTGTGGACCTAGAGGTGATTGGGTGACATGGGAGACCCTGGCAAAGGACCACCCTGCCTGGTGTACTCACATCAAAGAAGGCGCTATGCTCTATGAGCAAAGCAGAATTGAAGTAGCTAAAAAGAAATGCAAGATTCACAAATTTGGAGAATCCACCCCAAATGTTCACATGGACTATTTATGCCTGACCTATAGTAGAGCATTCCAAGCTCATACTGGTCTGAGCAGCCATGGTGGGACGCACTGCAACTTGGCTCTAACATAGTGATGCCATTTTGGTCCCCTTCGAGAATGAAGGACACCTAACCAACTAAGTCTATTCTGGATCTGAATGGACTTCTGGGATTTGGAGTTTAGGCTTTTGTTTTGTTTTCCTCAAAGAAAAAAAAAGTATATCTCCTATTTGCCTTTTCATTTGTTTCCATGTACTGAGTCAAGGTTTTCTGTATTCTTCTCATGGCTCAGTAAACTTTTATAAGTTTAGTTGTTATGCCATTAGTTGTGAAGACATTTCATATTGACATTCTTTCCTTGTCAATGGTACCTTTTAGCATGACTTAATTAGTAGCAGCAAACATTTATGTAGTGCTATTATATTAGGTTTGCAAAGAGCTTTACTTAACTCATTTGATTTGATCCTCACAATCATACTTTATTGTGTGATTTTCTATTCTATTTATCCATTTAACCTTTTTAAATACTTTCTAGATTTATATTCGCCCAGACAGTATCACGTTCAGAAATAAAAGCATGGAATATAATGTTAGACCCCTGAGTTTGAATCCTGCGTCTGCCTCTTATCAGTTGTGTGACCCTGAGAAAAATCCCTTCCTCTCCCCCAGGCTTTGTGTTTCCCTTGCGTAAAAGAATTCACTCAATCCTTAACTCGAGAGAACTGTGAGGACCTTTGACATCAAGGCGGTTGTACAACTAGTATCCATTAATGAATAAAATACATGACATCAAACAACTATTCTGAATGCTACTCTTTGAAGCTTAAAATAATTCATTGAGATCTTTTGCTTTTATATACTTATAACTTCCAAATACAGCATTCCCTCAGTAACACTTTTAAATTAGATTGAATTTTGTTAATCACAATAGTATTTCTCTACATGACAATCAAATGAGATAATAACTGTAAAGCTCTTAGCACAGTGCCTTGCACAAGCAGGCACTTATACAGATGTCAATTGTCATTACTAGAATTATTATTTGGAAAAGCTGTACACATATTGCACAAGGACAATTTTTCAGGCTATGCAAGGTACAATTTCCTTGAGCCATAGCTCTAGAGCTATAAGGGTTTATCTTGTCCAACTCTCATTTTACAAGTGAAGAGATTGAGGCCAAAAATATGTCTTTATTATGCTGAGTCATTTAATGCCATTATGGGTAATGCTGATTTTCAACTTTGAGAGAAAATGTGGATTCATGGATTCTTCACAATAATTCTATAGCATTTAGGGGTTTGTGACCTACAAGTTGGGAACTATTAGACTAAATTTCCTCTAAGTCCTCTTTTAGCTCTAAAGTCCATGATGGTTCAAAAGAGGGAATGTTTCAGGTTGTTCCTCCTCAATCCCTCTGGGGAAACAGTATCAGGAAAGTGATGTGCCCATCTTGTTGCCCAGGAGTGAGGAAGTTGAGTCAATACATTGAGGATACTGGATGTCCTCTTGGGGATGAGGGTAGATGTCAGGTGTGGGTCCCAGCTGATCAGTCTTAGTTGGGGCTCCTTTTTTTCCCTTTACATGTTTTTCCCCCATTAATTTTTTTTATTCATTTTGAACTTAAAGACAAAAGAAAGATTATTTCCTTGTACACAGCACAACATAAAAAGAAGATTCCATATAAAACAGTGAATTTCCTTTTCACACTGTTTCCTATTTTTGAAAAACTACGTAATAAAGACTACATATTATTTCCAAAGCTATCCTGTTTTTCTATGCTTCCTTCTAAGTTTTCTTTTGTTCTCTGCTGTGTACTTTTTTTCTCCCTCTCTCCCCACCCTGCCCTATAGAAAGCTCTCATTATACATAAATATGTATATATATGCAAATCATACTCTACATACTTCTATTTATCTGCTCTTTCTCTAGATGTGGATAGCATTTTAATTTGTAATTAAATAATCAAATTTATAATATTCAAAATGACTTACTCATTCAAAGGTGTTCTTAAAACAACATTATTGTTACTGTACACAATGTTCTCTTGGTTCTGCTCATTTCACTTTTCATTATTTCATGCAAATTTTTCCATGTTTTTCTGTTGTTTGAGGCTTCTTAGAGGAAAGGCTGAGAAACATAATCTTTTGACCAAGGATTTACTTTCCTCCACCAGGCATGGATGCCCCAAAATCTGGAAGATGGAATGAAAAAAGAATCGGCACTTACCTTGCTGAAGAACAAAAGTGTTGTGTTGGTGAGAAAACACTTGGGTCTTTCCTTCTGCTTCCTCAGCTTGATTTTCCTCTCATGGTACCACCACCCCACCCCACCCCGCCAGCCTGGTTTATTTACTCCCACTGGGCCCCAGAGATAGAAGCATTCAGAAGGCCAGAGGGCCACTGGATAAAGAAATGACTTTGGCAGGTAGGTGATCAGAGTTCACAGACCACCCCCTAGGTGAGACCTGGATGTTTTGGAAAGAGGACTGAACCAGAAGACCTTGTTTCAAATACTCTGTCTGCCACCAGCTACCTATATGACCTTGGTGAACTTATTCAAACCTATCACAGCTTCCATTTCGTCATCTGTAAAATGGGGGTAATAATACTTATGTTATCCAGCCCCTGAACCGTTACAAGGATAAGGGACCTCAGAATATAGAATATCGGAGTGGAAAGAAATCTTAAAGTATTAGAATATTGTAGCTGGGAGTATCAGAGCTGGAATGGGGCATTAGAACACAGGATGTCAGAATCGGAAGACATTTTAGAACATTGGAATGTTGAAACAGACAATACTGGGAGCAATGTGGAACATTAGAACAAGGGCAGGCTGGGTTCCAGTCCTGTCTCTGACACAAACTGACCCTAGGCAAGTCATGTAACTTCTCAGCACTCCCAGACAACTCTCTCAAAGTATAAATCTCAGAAGTTACTGGTTTGCATCAGTTACTGGAAGGATCCCACACCAATGAAATCACAGGTCCAGACAAAAGCAAAACTAAACAAAATACAAGATCTGGAAGGGGCCTTAGGACTTAAACAATAATGACAGATTAGACCTTAAGAGATCACACAGCACAACCCCTTCCTTGAGAACTAAATGAACCTGAAGCCCAGTAAAGTAATTTGCCTGAGATCCCATAATAAAATGGAGGTTTAGAGAGGCAAGGAATATGCCCAGAGTCACACGGCTAATATGTCTCAGAAACTGAGCCAAAAGATTCCTGATTCCATGTGTAGCATTCTACCCACTACACCAAGTTAGTGCTACAACCCAAACGTAATAATAATAATTGTGGCTGGTCAATCATTTCAGTTGTGTCCAACTCTCCATGACCGCATTTGGGGTTTTCTTGGTAAAGATGCTAAAATGGTTTGCCATTTCCTTCTCCAGTTCATTTTGCAGCACAGGGTTAAGTGACTTGCCCAGGGTCACACAGCTAGTAAGTGTCTGAGGCTAGATTTAAACTCAGGTCTTCCTGATTCCAGGATTCTGGATTGCACTGCATCACCTAGCTGCCTAGCATTTATATAATGCTTTAAGATTTGCAAAGTGCTTTATAAATTTTATCTCATTTTATACAACATTAGGAAGCATGTGCTATTATTATTCCCATTTTATAGATGGGGAAACTGAGGCAGACAGGGGATAATATCTCACCCAGGGCCACACAACTAGTAAGTATCTAAGGCTGGATTTTAATTCAGATCTTCTTGATTCCAAGGCCAGAGCCCCATAGCTACCTTGAACAGCTAGATTGTCTCTTCTGATCCCAAGCCCAGCATTCTTGCCATTGCCCCAAGCTTAGGCTAAAGGATAAGATTTCGTCTCTGACATGAGTCTCATGGAGTCTCCTAAGTTTTATTCTATGTTTATCCCAGGGCACCCCTTCTGAGTTGATCCATCTCATCACAGATGAGTATATGGGTAACCAGACAGACCCAGTCGCCATTCGGGATGCAACTCTGGATATATTTGGAGACTTCTTTATCGTTTTTCCAACTCTGAGGACATCAAAGAAACACAGAGGTGAGCTATTCTCGAAGGTCGAAGCTTATGGCTTCAAACTGCTCCAAACCAGACTCCAGGAACACCCAAGAGTCAAAACAATCAGAGCAGGGTGGGAGGAGTCTTTAGTCTCAAACCAAGGCCCAAGCAGGACAGTGACTTCCTTGGGATCATGGAGCAAGCTCATGAAGATCTGAGGATCTAAGGAATGCTTGACTTTATTTCTATCAAAGACATCATCATTATTCCAGTCTCCTCAATTTGGAATCTTAAGGTCATCTTTGACATCATTCTCCCTCACCCCACATATGTCATCAGTTGCCAATAGTGCTGTTTCTACCTTTATAACATCTCTCTCACCCAAAACCTCTACACAGTCATCACCCTAATTCAAGCTTCTATTACCTGCAATAGCTTCCTAATTCTTTGTCCTTCCTCAAGCTTCTCACCCCCCCAATCCATTCTCTACACTCCTGCCAAAGTGATTTTTCTTACGCATAGATCTGACCATGCCCCTCCCCTACATCATCAACTCCGGTGGTTCCTCATTGCCTCTAGGTCAAGTATAAATTCTTCTGTTAAGCTATGAAAAAGTAATGGATCTCTTCTTCTTCAGTGGAGATTACTCTGCAATCCACTCAAACACCATCCGAACAAATTCCTATTTCTGTTTATTTCTACTCCTCCCACATGATGTGTCATTTCCCACCTTTGGGCCTTTGCACTGATTTGCTCTCCCCCATGCCTGGAATGCACTCCCTCTTCACCTCCATCTCAGAATCCTCTCTTCCTTCATGACATAGCTCAGACACCACCTTCTACTGAAGCCTTCCTGATCCCATCAACACCCCCTCTTGAAGCACCATATAGTTAACTCCTTTGTATTTATTTATATTTGTTCACTATATTCTTGCTGTCTCCTCCTTCAGAATGTGAGGTCCTTTTGAGTAGGGATTATTTTCATTCATTGTATCTCTGTCCCCACCTCTGCGAGAGCACAGATTGATTTCAAGTTAGAGCAGCTTGGTTCAAATCCTCTTTCTGCCATTTACTATCTGTGTGACCTTGGGAAAATTACTAAGTGCAAAATCACTTATCACCCGAAGGTAGGCAACCAGGAGATGAGCTTACTTAAGTCACACATGGGAGGAGGGAATACCTAAACCAAGGAAATCATGGATCCTTGAAGTAGTAGTACCATATTTGTTATTAATTATTATATTATATGTTACAATAGTAATAACAAATTCTTTTTAGAGGCATCTAAGTGGCACAGTGGGTAGAGCTCTGATCCTGGAATCAGGAAGACCTAAGTTCAAATCTGGCCTCAGAAACTTACTAGCTATGTGACCCTGAATGAGTCACTTAATTTCTGCCTGCCTCAGTTTCCTCAACTACAAAACAGAAATAATAACACCTAGTTCCCAGGATTGTTGTAAGGACCAAATGAGATATCTATAAAAGATTTAGACCAGTAAGTAGCAAATAGTAGGTGCTTAATAAATGCTTGTTTCCTTCCTTCTGAGAGCATGAGAATTTCTCTTCAAGGTGAATGTCAGAAATGGCTGGCTCTGTGTTCTTATTGGAGAGATGGGTCTTTTACTTGATATCCTCAAAGGTAGTTTTGTAGTGCTTTAACAATGGGTGTTCAGGGAGAACTAGCATCTCTGGTATGAGGACTTGCTGAGCCTTTTCTTTTTTTTTTTAATATAAATTTATTTATTTTTAGTTTTCAACATTCACTTCCACAAGTTTTTGAGTTCCAAATTTTCGCCCCATCTCACCCCTCCCTCCACCCCAAGATGGCATGCATTTTGAATATCCCTTCTTACTGAGCCTTTTCAGGGCTGCTCACCCACCTTTGGCGTCCATCTAGCACTCACCTCTCACCTATGGCTCCAAGAAACTGTAGCATGCACAATGGCCACCCAGGTAAAACCATCTAGGCAGACAGGCTAAAGCAGGGTAAGAGTAACCGATGGGCTTCAAACACATTGGTGAGTGAGGGAGATGTCTACCCCAAGCATGTGAAGACTTCCCCCGGCAGAATGGAAGGATGAGAACAATTTGTTCCAGTGGCTATGAAGACAGCTGAAGCAGGCATTGTGAAGTACATTGAAGATGCTGAGGTCATCCACTGCATCCAGGGCTGTGGCCAGTCATCTTGACTTTTGTCCCACCACTGGACTTCCATGACTCTGGAGGAGAAAGTGAGGCTGATGACTTTACACAGCCCTGCTTCACTTCAATCCGATTCAGGTGCAAGTCAAAACATCACCCGTGATGTCATTGATCCTCTTCGAAATGAAGGACATATAACAGAGGGCAGCGATGGCAAACACCACTGAGGCAAAATGGGCTTGTCCTACCCAACATAATGGGCTTGTCCTGCCCAATAGTCTCAGATTCCTAACTCCAAGCTTCTTTTTGGCTCTTCCTTCAGATTCTGGTGCTCCAGTCTACTTTTATGAATTCCAGCATCGGCCAAGTGCTTTCAATAAGATCAAACCTGCTTTTGTAAAATCCGACCATTCAGCTGAGCTCACATTCATTTTTGGAGGCCCTTTCATGACAGATGAGCACTCCTTGTTGGGTAAGAAAAATATATCAATCAGTCTTTATTGAATATTTACTGTGTGTCTAGAATTGTGTGAAATACAAAGATACAGTTTTTCTTTAAAGAACATAGTATCTTGTGTAGGTAGTTAAGACATGTGTGTGTGTGTATATATATGTTAGAGAATGTACAATCTCAGGGCAGATTAAACTGATAATTAAATGTTGGGGTTTTATAATTAACACATTCATAGAGAAGAAGACTTCGATTATTGTGAAATCCATTCAGCAATCAGCCAACACACACGTAACAGTAGCCACACTGTCCCAAAGGTATTGGAGTCCCACTTTCCATTGCAGCTGCCCTTGGGGACTTAGAGATCTCCAAAGAAAAGCAATAATACTAAAAAGCAGTTGCCAGGTGTGGAGGCACATGCCTGTAATCCCTGCTTCCAGCAAGGTGGTGGTGGATAGCCTGGGCTTAGGAGTTCCAACCTGCATTGGGTTAAGCCAATTGGGTGTCCACATTAAGTATGGCACCAGTATGGTGAACTCTACTGGGCTGGAGGCCATCAGGCTTCCTAAGGAGGAGCAAACAAGCCCAAGATGTAAAGGAGTAGGTCAAAACTCCCATGTGGAGCAGTAGTGGGACTGGGTATATAATGGACACTGTACTTCCAGTCTGAACAACGTAGGGAGACCCAGTCTCAAAAAAAAAAAAGCAATAGATTATCTCACACAAAGGAAAGTGTTAACTTTATTCTCTTAAGGGGATCAAAAATGGGTTTTGGGAGAAAAGAGGACAGGATATATCAGGCAGGGTCCCAAGAACAGGGCAGAGTACATCAACAAAAAGTCCAAACCTTGAGTAAGATGATCTTGAGGACTCAGCAAGGAGAGAAAATGTGATATGTAATCATTTGAAGATTGTTTCCCGATGTGACACCCAGTTTGTGCCAGGCTTCCATTGCTTCTCCCCAGTTCAGCACATGTACTCCAGATTCGTCACATATAAAAGGGTCAATCAGAAATGTGGAAGAAAGCCAAGTGTGTTATAGGGAGAGCTGAGGTCTCCTGGTTGGGTCTATTGCCACATGCAGGTAGGCATCAGTTAATGAGGCAGCAAGGAAGATTCCAGATATGGGTGGTGGGGAGATAAGGAGATCTAGAGAAGGGGAAGGATGGTGGCACCTTGTAGGAGGAGGAACCACAATGTCAAGAGAGTTATCTTTTCAAAGAATGGCAAGGACCCTTTAATGCAGAAGCTTCTTGGGGCTACTTCACTTGATGTTTGTCTTGAGTTTAAAAAGGAATGATTCTACCTTGTCTTTCTCTTCTTTTGACCCTTCAAGTGGCATCATGTAACTCTGGGAGTTCCTCTGAGGGGTGGGGAAGGGGTTGTCCTTCTCCACCCTGGCATTGTGGCAACTTCTCCCATGTGGCCATAAGAAATGAGACTCAGCTAGGCAAGCCTGAACCTGGGCCTCTTCTGTTGTGTGCTTCTTTGCCTGATCTTTGCCTGTTCTGAGACAGAAATTCCATGTTTGGAGGTTGCCTTGTGAATTGAAGAGGTTTAGAGATCAGGGGTCTTCAGTTAGTCTAAAAGGTCTTATGTTTAAATCTAATAATTGTGAACTGCTGGTAGGCCCAAGGGTCTAGGGCACTGCCTTCTCTACATCTGCTTCTCCAGACTACATCCGCTACTTCTGAACCCATGAACATGGTGATTGGGTTTAGTCATAGGGGAATCCTGACCACCTAGAAGAACGATCAAATTCTTTTTCTCACACTCTGACTCATTCCTCTGCTCCCTAAGGAAGATTTGCTTAAAGCTTCAGTTTGTCTAATATCTAGGGTCTCCCCAAAAAGCAGAGTAGATTTGTACTCCATATACAATGTAAATCATGGATGGGGCAGGTATTTATTTCTTACATACAAAAGAAAAGTTTAATATTAAGACAGGCCTTTCACAAATAATATTAAGAGATAGACTTAAAAGAGGTTAACTATACCTATGTGTGTGTGTGTGTGTGTGTGTGTGTGTGTGTGTTTATACTTAAGAGAGGTTTATACTTAAAGCATAAAGGCATAATGTAATTTACAGGACTGCTGAATAGACATTATTACATTTCACCTCAACTCTGCCCTGTCCAAACAATCCCTTCCAGGTTCATGTCTTCTGACAAGCCAGGCCAGGCCTTGGGGTTATTCCTCTTGTCGGTGGTCATCTTCTTTAATGTTCAACCTCTGCAGGAAATGTAGGGAACACCTCTTCTGCCAACTGAGGATCTAGTATCTCCAGACCTCTCAAACTCACAAAGTGGCCTCCCACCCTGGAAATGTCCATCCAGATCACTGCCTGGTAACCTGGCAAAGAAACAGAAAGCAGAAGAAGCATCCCAAGGTCCAGGTTCAAGACAACCTAGATGAGGACCAGTTCTAGCTGCCATGTGGGAATAATGACAACACTTCCAATGTGTTAGAAGAGCCACGCTCATGGGAAGTCCTAGAGTTACAGGATGTACCTGGTTGGTCAAAGGAAGAGAGATAGGGGAAGAATCAATACTTTTTTAAAGGTGCACTGAGTCATTGGCTCTTCCTGCTCAGTGGCCAATAGGAGAATTGCCTCATTATTCTAAAAGCACCCAAATGCTGAGCTAGTGTCATGAGTTAAATTTAATAAAAAAGGTAAACAAAGGCACACTTCGAGAGTATGTTAGCAGGGTCACAGCCAACCAATAAAGTAGACTGATAATTGCCTCGATTAGAGGCAATTAGAGCAGATACAACTCCTTTTTTATAAGCATAGAATAAAGAATAGCACATATTAGGTGAAGAGATCACACCATTGGCTATAACATTGGTAGAATCATGGGGGTGAGGGATCATAACTGATTACATTAGGGAAAGCAGGCACACACAGACATGTGGGATCATGGCCACCCCTCTCTATCTCTAGGGAATGTTTTGTGAATTTGTGGGACCCAGCTGCATTCATAGACCAGTGACAGTAGACTAGAAGTAGCAGTTTCATGAGTGCCTGAGAATAGGACAAGACCACCTTTAATTGGCGATGTGGAGTGCTAAGATGGAACAACGTCAGCTAGTTAGCTCCTCAAGGATAACACACAAATGACATGGAGTTTCTCAGAAACGGAAGTTATGTGGGATAACAAGCTTTCCTTGGCACAAAGTGGTTTGCAGGTGATGCTGAAATAGCAATTCTCATGGAATTGGAATGGTGTATGAGATAATTGAACTTCTAAACTTTAGCTCAGAATTTTTCTTTAATTAAAAGCGATCAAGAAGGAAACAACTTTTGACATCTGACTCTTCAGAGAGAAAGATTAAACTTTTGAACTCATGAGCTTCTTCACATAGAGATAAAAAAAAGAGGTTGAGGTTTGTTAGCTGAGGCTGCAGAAAAAAATCACTTACCGAGTAAAATCAAATGAAAAATACAGGATCATTGTCTGATTTTGACACTAGTATACATGGCTAGCCAGAAGCCTGCAGGGCAGCTGTCCATATAATCTGTTAGAGAATTTAATGATTCCTAGACTATTTCCTACCCTGTATGTTTGGATATCAGACTTTTCATGGAAAAATTAGGAGTTTCCCCTTAAATACAATTATTTCAATGAACAGCAAATCTTTTGGTCAGGTGCAGGTGTTTCTGAGATGTGCAGTGTGACTTGAATGTGAACTTCTGATAGTTTTTGTTGCATCAAGCTCTTCCTGATGCCAATTGGGTTTGACTACATGAGAAATGGTTATGTTTTCAGCTTTTCCAGACTCCACTGAGGAGGAGAAACAGCTAAGCAGAGTAATGATGAGATACTGGGCCAATTTCATTCGGAATGGGTAAGTAAGATGGAAACAATCACCCTACACAAAGGAGGCACCTCTTGCTTCTAGAATGGGCCCTGAGTAAGATCTGAGGATACTTGAATCCATGACCAGGAAGCCACACAATTGGGCAGAATCATCATCTCAGAGACTCACATTCTCCCCTTGTCCCTGCTCCAAAGTACTGGGCCAATGTCACTGTTGTCTCAGAAATAATCTCTGTTATAAGTGGTAGAGAAGAGGACTGCATCTCTAAAGTCTACTAGAGTTTGAGTTTTCGTCTCAGCTGTGGAGAAATTTAAATCCTAACCTTTGCTTCCTAGCCTCCTATAAAGGAATCTTGTGGCTCTGTTTTTTTTTCTCTTTGCAGCCTTGTTCCTTTGTATTCTCAAATGTTAGGGTCCTATGACCTCTAACTGCAAGGTCCTACAATCCACAAATATACCTCAGAGAACTGAGAAGGGTCCAGAAGGTATTAACAAGGTTGTCTCTTACCTTATGACCCTGTATCTTTACTACCTTGCCCTTTGACATATGCTGTGCCTTAAGACGTCCAGCAGCTTATAGGACTAGCCTACCATCTTGTAAAAAGCATGAGATTTTTCCCAGGGATACATACAGCACAGAAGAACCCATATACAGACTCCCAAAGAAACCTTTCTGGGTAACCAGAGGCCACAGAACTGCACCGTTTTGCTACAAAGAGATTTCCTCTGGCTCTCCGGCTCTCCTGCTCTCCTTTCTGACACAGTTGGTTCCAAAGTTCAAAATCAAATGTAGAAAGATCAGCCCAAGAACTTTCCCTGGTTCTCTTTTGATAAGATTACTACAACACCTTCAGAGGAAGAGAGAGATTGGTGCCTATGTCATGGTTGTTGACACTGGCAACCTTATCATCCCAGTTATTAATCATCTGACCTTCTCGGTTTAGGTGACCCCTGCCTGGGCTTTCAAAACAGCTCACTACTCATTAAAGGAAAGGATATGAGGGCAGCTACGTGACTTAGTCAATAGTGTGCTAGACCTGGAGTCAGGAAGACCTGAATTCAAATACAACCTCAAACAACTACTAGCTATGTGACTCTGGGCAAGTCATTTAACTCCCGCCTGCCTCAGTTCCTTCAACTGTAAAACAAGAATAATAATAGTAATTACCTTCCAAAGTCATTGTGAGAATGAAATGAGATATCTGTAAAGCATTTAGGACAATTTCTTGCACATAGTAGGCACTTTAAAAATGCTTGTTCTCTCCCCCAGTTCCCAAACAACTTCACAGATAATCACAAAATGGACATTTTATAGATGTCCTAACGATTAGAACTTCTTATATAGAGGAAGCTAAGTGGTAGAGTGGAAAAAGTGCTGGATTCAGAGTCAGGAAGATAGGAGTTCAGATTCTCCCTCAAACATTTAATAGCTGTGTGAGTATGGGCAAGTTTTTTTTTTAATTTTTCACTTTTTTACTCAATGTGCACAGTATATATAAGGATTCCTTTCACAGAAAGGAGAAATAACACTTTCCCCTACAGAGAGCTTTGTGAAGATAGCACAGCAGTATAAGCCATCCAAGATGCTCTATATTAAATGTTTGCTCTGCTCCCACAAAAAAAAAAAAACCTTTCACATGAGCATGATGAACTGGATATAATCAAGATACAAAATAGCACTAATAAAGATAATATGTCAAATAGGTAACCTTTGTCAACCTCAGTTTCCTCATCTGTAAAAAGGGGTAATAATAACACCTACCTCACAGAATTGTTGCAAGGATTAAATGAGATAACATAGAAATTACACGGTAAATTTTAAAGTGCTTTATTTTGCTGTTGGTGTTCAGTCATTTTAGTCATGTCTGACCCTTCATGACCCCATTTGGTGTTTTTGTGGCAGAGATAGTTTGCCATTTCCTTCTCCAATGGGTCCATTTTTGTCAGGCAATCAGAGGTTAAATGACTTGCCTGGGGTCACACAGCTAGAAAGTGTCTGAGACTGGATTTGAACTCAGGTCTTTTTGACTTTAGGCCCAGCACTCTACCCACTGAGCCATGGGCTGCCTCCAAAGTGCTTTATAAATGCTAGCTATTATGATAAGTGGAATTATACAGGAAATAGTGACAACAAGTTCCCCCAGAGGGAAATCAAGCAGAGACTGAAGGACCACTGGTCAAGTATGTTATAGTACTTTTTTCAAGTATAGACTTAACTAGATAGCCCTGAGGTTCCCCTTTCAGCTCTAAAATTCTATATAATTCTATGATCAATTCTTACCCAAAAGACAGACTTAAATACAGCTCTTCAAGCCCATACCTGAATGAAAAGGAATAGAGAAAGGAAAGGGAAGAAAAGAAACATTTATTAAGCATCTACTATGTGCCAGGCTCTGGGCTAAGCACTTTATAAATATGATCTCATTTGATTCTCACAACAACCCTAGGTGGTAGGTACTATCGTGATTCTCATTTTATAGTTGAGGAAACTCAGTCAGACAGAGGTTAAGTGACTTGCCCAGGTCACACAGCTAGTGAGTGTCTGAGGCAAGATTTGAACTCCTGACTCCAAGTCCAGCCCCTGAAGGCTACTGCCCCTTTTAGAATAGTTCTTAGGATAGCAGGTTGCTCACCATATAATTAATTACACTGCCTCCAGCTATACCTTGAGTAGAACAAATTGGCATTTCCAGATATTTAGCTCCTACCCCAGTCACCTACCATCATGCTACTGTTTGCATTCCTTTGACCTTAATTTGGTACAAACCAACCTTGCTACTCTGTTAGTTCCTGGTGGGAACTTTGACCTTGCTTATTGTGCATCTCCCTTACTCTGCTTTCTCCTTACCCCTATGTGTAGTTTTATTGTCCTCAAGTGACCATGAGAAGTTTAATGATTAAGCCTGCCTATGCTTGGCTGAACCTCCACAGTGCCAGGATCCCCTTTGTCTTTAATCACCTTGTTCCCACACATTCCCCACAAAAAAATTCCTCATGATGGAAGATAAGCTAAGCTCACAAGTCCATGATTTCAGACAAGCTAGATGAGACAGCATCAGACCTGCCACATTCCATCACAGTTCATACTGCTACAGAGGAGGAGGTGGAAGGCACCAGGTCCCAGCCCTATCTATCCCAGGACCCCTGCCCTTCCTCCGGTTCCAATTCCCGTGTGGACTCCCAAGCTTCACACACTGTCTCACTGCCCTACACACAACCACTAAAGCCACTCTGTGCTGGAATCTCTCCCCAACATACTGCTCTCCCTTTCCATCTCCTCCCAACACACTTCAGAACCACTGTCTCCACAATCACCAGTTTTCTTTGCACAGTGCCTCTATCCCTGCTCCCAGGCCAATCTTTCAATAGCCAAAGTCAGCTAACACCAGTCCCAAGGATGCTTCCTGTAACCAGGGCTTCTTACCTTCTTATGTGTGATCTCTTTTGGCAGTCTGGTGAAGTCTGTGGTCCCCTACTTAAATTCTGTTTTTAAATGCGTAAAATAAAATATATTTGATTTAAAAGGAAACCAATTATATCAGGTAGCTAGATGGTTCAGTGGATGGAGCTGGGCCTGAAATTAGGAAGACTTGAGATCAAATCTGGCCTCAGACACTTGCTAGCTGTGGGACCTTGGGCAAGTTCCTTAAACTCTGTTTACTTCAGTTTCCTCAACTGTAAAATGGGGATAATACTAGCACCTACCTCCCAAGATTATTACGAGGATCAAATGAGATTATAACATTTATAAAAAGCTGCTAAGCTTAGCACAGTGCTTGTTACATAGTAGACACTACAGAAATGTTAGCTATCATTATTGTTATTAACAATAATAATAAAATGTGATTATTACAATATAAAAACAAAACCAAGTTCACAGACCCCAGGTTAAGAACCTCTACCATCATCATAGGTTATCCTGTCCAACCACCATGTTTTTACAAATGAGGAAAAAGACCTTCCCAAAGTCACACAAGTAGAAACACCTATACCATTAGCCCTTCCCCTCAAGCATTTGCACAAGTCCTGGATCCTACCACTCCTTCCAGGGTTGGAGCTTGCAGAGCTAGGTTACCATCACATTAGTAAGAGTCTTCCACATTAAAATGGTCCAGCCTATTTCTCCAGAGAGACAATTGTGTTACCATGCACTCTGTAATGTCATCTTAATACATTATGCTCAGAAAGAAAATGTAGTTGGGGGGAAGGGGTCCTTTCTCACCAAAGAGTCAAGTATATGCCATTATAGGATTAGAATACACAACACATGTAAAACGTGTTGTCATTGCATATATGTTGTCACATGCATTTGCTTCCAAATAATATGAGATGTCATTACTTTAAACGGGGTCCTAGATTAGATTAGATTAAGCCTTTATTGAATACTTCCTATGTGCCAGGAACCATACTAAGCACTGGGGATACAAAAATAAGACAACAAGAAGTTTCCTACTCCCGAGAAGTATACGTTCTAATGGAGCAAGACAACACATAGAGGGGAAGCAGAAAGAGGTAGGGATGGATGATAATCCTTGCAATCTAGTATCTAGTCTAGACTCAAGGAAGAGTCATTCTTAGGGAGGGCAAGCAACTGGGGTGGAGTTGGAACAGACCACGGAGAGAGCCAGCAGGGAAATATCACCTGTGTCTGTGGCAGCTTGTGAAGGACATGGTACATTCTTCCAGCCACTCATTCCTTTTCCCCTAATTTCCAGGGACCCCAATGGAGAAGGGCTGCCCAGCTGGCCCCTTTATGACCAATCAGAGCCATACCTAGAGCTCAGCTTGACTCCCAGAGTCGGAAGGAAACTCAAAGAGGACGGAATGGAGTTTTGGGGGAAATTAATTCGTGAAAAAGTGAAGCCATATTATGAAGGAAAGAAAGTACACACAGAGTTGTGATTTCCCCAGCACTGAACTAACTTAACACATCAAGACCAAAGCATTTAAAGAGATCATTTTAACATCTTAAACGTTTTGTGTGTGTTTACAACAACAAACAAACCAATATAACCAAATAAAAATTTATAACCAAAATAACAGTAGCAATAATGGTGATGATGTTAATAAATACCTGACTACTCTATTTTAGTCACCCTTGAAGGAAGGGACATGTCTTATTTGTCTTTATAAAAGCCTCCTAGCACCCATCATAGAGTATTGCATAGAGTGAGAACTTAATGCCTGGTAAGTGTTTATCTAGTGTTTCAAGTTTACAAAGAACTTTATTGTCACCGTTTATTTAATCAGCACAATAATCCTAGGAACTAACTAGTATTTGTATCTTTATTTCCATTTTACAAATGAAGGACCTGAGGCAGTTGAAATGACTTGCCAAAGATCTAACTCCAACCCAGGTCATAAGATCAAACCAGGATTTAGAGATTTGGGGAGTTTCTTTGGTTTTTAAATTTTGCTTAATGGAAGAGGGATCAAATTAATAAAACTAATTTTTAAAATGCTTGTAACTTGAAAAATAAAAAATAATAAAAAGAAAAGGCCTGAATTTAGGGGCTGTCAGGGATTGTAGATTTAGAGCCAGAAGAGGCATTAAAAGTTATGGAATAAATATTATGAAGTCACAGTCAAGATTATACAAGATTTAGCAGCTTCTATATTAAATATCAGAGGGCTTGTAATATGATATTCTGGAAGGCAAAGGAACTGGGATTACAACCAAGAATCACCTACCCAGCAAAACTGAGCATAATCCTCCAGGAAAAAAATGGGTAGTCAATGAAATAGAGGACTTGGAAGCATTCCTGATGAAAAGACCAGAGCTGAACAAAAATTTTCATTTTCAAATACAACACTCAGGAGAAGCATAAGCAGAAAAGCATAAAAAGCGTAAACAGGAAAGAGAAAACATAAGGGATTCAATAAGATTTAACTGTTTACATCCTTGCACAGGAAGATGATACTTTTAACTCTTAAAAATTTTATCACTATTAGGACATTAGAAGGAGTATACATAGACAGAGTATACATAGCAGCGAGTATAAGTTGACTTTGATGGGATAATATAAAAAAAATTAAGGAGTGAGAAAGAAAATTGCACTGGGAGAAGAGGGAAGGGGGAGGTAAAATGGGGTAAATTTTCTCAAATGAAGAAGGGTGAAATATCTATTACAGTGGAGGGAAAGATGAGGCAGGTCATCACTAGAACTTTACTCTCATTGGAATTGGCTCAAAGACAGAATAATTTGCACATTCAGTTGGGTATAGACATCTATCTTACCCTTTAGGAAATAAGAGGGAAGGGTGATAAGAGAAGGGCGGAGGACTAATAGAATGTGGGAACGTGATGGTCTGAAGCAAAACGCTGGTGAGGAGGGACAGGGTAAAGAGAGAGAAAAGGATAATCAAGGGCAAAATAAGATGGAGGGAAAGGTACCATTAGTAATCATAACTGTGAATATGAATGAGATAAACTCACCCATAAAACATAAGTGGATAGCAGAGTGGATTAAAAAACAGAATCCTACAATATGTTGTTTACAAGAAACACATTTGAAGCAGAGAGACACATACAGAATAAAGGTAAAAAGCTAAAGCAGGACATATTATGCTTCAGCTGAAGTAAAAAAATAAAGCAGGGAGAACTAGGAGAACGTTGCACACAATAACAGCCACGTTGTGTGATGACTAATATTGATAAACTCAACCCTTCCCAGCAATACAAGGATCTAAGTCATATCCAAAGGCCTCATGATGGAAAATGCTATCCACATCCCAAGAAAGACATATGGAATTTGAATGCAGATCAAAACACACTATTTGCTATTTTTTTCTCTTCTGTTGAGTTTTGTGTGCTCTTTCTGGTGGTTCCTCCTATTGGTTCTAATTCTTACTTACAACATCACTAATGTGAAAATATGTTTAATAGGAATGTGTATGCATAGCCTGTATCAGATTGTGTGCCGTCTTGGGGAGGGTGGTGGGGAGGAAGGGGGAGAAAAATTTTAAACTCAAAAGCATATTTAAGTGATTGTTGATAAATCAAAATAAATTAAGAAAAAAAAATAAATAGGTATTTCAATCTTCAAATACCATTAAAAAATAAAATAAAGCAGGGATAGCAATTATGATCTCAGACAAAGAAAAAGCAAAAATAGATCTAATTAAAAGAGACAACAAGGAAACATCTTACTAAAAGTTTCATAGACAATGAAGTAATATCAATACTAAACATATATACCAAGTGATATAGCGTCCAAATTTTTAAAAGAGAAGTTACATGAATTACAGGAGGAAATAAACAGTAAAATTATACAAGTGGGAGAAATTTAAGTGGGAGGAAATTAAGTCAGATCTAAACAACTGGAAAAACATAATTGCTCATGGGTAGGCCAACATAATAAAAATGATCATTCTACCCAAATTAATCTACTTATTCAGTGTCATACCAAATGACCAAAAATTATTTCATAGAGCTAGAAAAAATATTAATAAAATTCATCTTTAAGAACCAAAGCTCAAGAATATCAAAGAAATTAATGGAAAAAATGAGATAGAAAGTGGCCTAGCCATATTAGATCTCAAACTATATTTAAAAATGACAACTATCGAAACAATTTGGTATTGGCTAAGAAGTAGAGTGGTGGATCAGTGAAACAGATTAGGTGCACAACACATTGTAATAAATGATCATAGTAATTTAGTGTTTGATAAACCCAAAGATCTAAACTTTGGGGACAAAAACTTAATATTTGACAAAAAAAAACTGCTGGGAAAGCTGGGAAAAAAATGGCAGAAACTAGGTAGAGACCAATATCTCACACCGCATACCAAGATAGGGTCAAAATGAGTACATAATTTAGACATAAAGGATGATGCCACAAGCAAATTAGGGGAACATGGAATAGTTTACCAGTGAGATCTGTGGAGAAAGGAAGCATTTAGGACCAAACAGGAAATAGAAAGCATTAAAAGTGGAAGATAGATAATTTTATTAAATTTAAAAGATTTTATGCAAACAAAACCAAGGCAACCAAAATTAGAAGGAAAACAGAAAACTGGGGGCAGGAGGAGAGGGGAATTTACAAGTATCTCTGGTCCCAAATACATAGAGAACTGAATTGAATTTATAAGAATAGAACTCACTCCCCAATTGAGAAATGGTCAAAGGATATGAACAGGCAGTTTCCAGACAAAGAAATCAAAGCTATCTATAGTCATATGAAAAAAATGTTCCAAATCATTATTGATTAGAGAAATGCAAATTAAAACAACTCTGGGGTACCACCCCACACATATCAGATTGGCAAATATAACAGAAAAGGAAAATGATAGATGTTGGAGAAAATGTAGGAAAATTGGGACATTAATGCACTGTTGGTGGCGTTGTAAACTGATCCAACCATTTTGGAGAGCAGTTTGGAACTATGCCCAAAGGGCTACAAAAATGTGCATACCCTTGGATCCAGCAATACCACTTCTAGTGCTGTGTCCCAAAGAGATCGATAAAAAGGGGAAAGGACCTATTTATATAAATATATTTATGCAAAAATATCTTTTTGTGGTGGCTAAGAATCGGAAGTTGAAAGGATATCCATCAATTGGGGAATGGCTGAACAAGTTGTGGTATATGATTGTAATAGAATATTATTGCACTATAAAAATGATGGGCAGGATGATTTCAGAAAAACCTGGAAAGACTTACATGAACTGATATAGAGTGAAGTGAGCAGAACCAGGAGAACATTGAACACAGTAACAGCAATATTGTACAATGATGAACGGTGAATGACTTAGCTATTCTCAGCAATATAACAATCCAAGACAATCCCAAAAAACTAATGATGAAAAATGTTATCCACTTTCTGAGAGAGAATTGGTGGTATATGGATACAGACCAAAGCACGCTCTTTTTCACTTTCTTTCCTTCTTTCTTTTTCTTTCTTCTTTTTTTTTTGGTTGAGTTTTTCTTCCACAAAATGGCTAATGTGGAAATATGTTTTACGTGGTTGCATATTTATAACCTGTATCAGGTTGCTTACTGTCTCAGGGAGGGGATGGAAAGACAGGAAAGGATAGAATTTGGAACTCAAAGCTTTAAAAAATGTTATTGTCAATGTCATCAGCTTTGAGCATATCTGCAAGCCTGAAGTGGAGCACCTGACTGGCTATGAGGAGTTTGAGTATACCCCCAACATGACTTATATGTTGAAAAAGCTGCTCATCAATTACATCTCCATTATTTATGTATATGCTTTTATCTGTCTCTATATCCTCTTCTGGTTGTTTTGGATGCCTTTGAAGGAGTATTCCTTTGAAAAGGTGAGGGAAGAGAGCAGTTTCAGTGACATTCTGGATGTCAAGAATGGCTATACATTTCTTCTATACGTGATCAACCAGTATGACCAACTGTACTCCAAGCCTTTTGGTGTCTTCTTGTCCAAAGTCAGTGAAAATAAACAGGAAAATCAGCTTAAACCATGAGTGGACATTTGAAAAATTCTGGCATCACGTTTCTCACAATGCCCAAGACAAGCAAGAGTCACACCTTTTTATGTTCTCGAGGATCCCCGATGCTGTGTTTGACATCATGGATTTTGATGTGCTCAAGCTAGAGCTCATTCCAAAAGCTAAGATCCTGGCCAAGATTTCCCAGACCACTAACTGCAAAAGCTCAATTTCTTTCCTCTGAGATCATTTGAGATGCCTTCATGTCAAATTCACAGAAGTGGCTGAAATCCCAACCTGGGTATACTTGCTTAAGAACCTTTGGGAGTTGTACTTGGTAGGCAATTTAAACTCTTGAGAACAATAAAATGACAGAACTGCAGTCTCTGTGGGAGCTGAGGCACCTTCAAGAGCAATTTGACATAAGTTCCATCCAACATCACAGATGTAGCCCTGTCTCTCACAAAGTTAGTCATTCACATGACTACACTAAGCTTGTGGTATTTAACAGCCTTAAGAAAATTATGAATAGGGGCAGCTAGGTGGCATAGTGGATAGAGCACCAGTACTGGATTCAGGAGACCTGAGTTCAAATGTGGCCTCAGACACATAACGCTAACTAGCTGTGTGACCCT